TTTTGCACCCATATAAATAGAATATTATCCTCTATGTAACACCCATAATTTTTAAAACAGTTAAAAGCTTATATAAATAACGCAATCTATCGTTAAACATCCAAATAGAGCATAAACTATTCGTGAGAGTCGGGGTGCTATGCCACACCTAGGTTTGAGAACCTAGGTGCACAGGCTAAACTAACCAATACATAAAATTCATAAGTCCAAAACACAAGCCAAGGCACGCAGGCCAGCACCAGTACTAACTAAGCTAAGGCTACAAGTCCAACTAGCGCGCTCCATAGCTACTGATCATCACCTGAAAAACATGTCGTAGCAACCGTCAGCAAATAATGCTGAGTAACCCACTCCCACACGTTAAGTACAATAAATATAAATATAGGAAATTATTTTGAAACTGGAATACATATATAATCCTGAGCAACTCTAGCTTTAAAACCAGGATCAAGACTCGAGACACCATCAATAAGGTAACATTTCGAATATTATAGAGATACTAGCATGCATCCCTCGTTTGCAAGGCATAATAGACAAGTAAGCTCATAAATAGCAATTAAAGGCAACAATGGGATCCAATGGCAATCAATTAGCAAGAAATCATCAAAGCACACAATCCATCTTCCAACCTTATACCAAGTTCCAACATTTACTCCTCTCCATCCGTATATCAGTTCCAACCTGTACCTCCAGGCCACCCTTATATCGCTTCCCTTATTCCTCCGGAGCACGCATGCCCCACACCGAATCCACCAACAAGTCCACCAACATGGTAGCACCGAAGTGCCATTCGCATGATCTGTGCCTATAGCACTATAATCAAGGGGTCAGCGCGTATAGCTCTGGCATGGCACCACGTCGCTTATACCCTGACCCAAGCCTTTAGCGAGCAAGTCTAATGGGTGGTCCGTGCCTTTAGCACGATAACCGAGCACTCGTTGTGCTATCCGCCAATAATTCATTTCCACCAATCACAATCTCATTATCATCAATCTCAACCATCATTACGCAATGATCACAATACCCATCATCATTCAATCAATCAATCATATAATCAACAATAACAATCAAGGTACAATAACAAACGACACATGCTGCATACAAATTCCTAGAACGGTACTCAAAACATCATACGAGACTCATAAACATCAAACGGAGTACAACGGGACACAGGGAAATAACAAACGCGGAAAAACAGCCCACCGCACCACCACATTCCAGCGGGTGCCCAACGGGCAGTCGACTGCCCGCTGGAATTGGGTAATCAGGGCCGCGGGTAGGTGGCAGGGTTTCGTTCCCCCCACCTACCCCCCCATTGGTACGAAGGTAAATATCCGGTTCGGTGTTCGTCCATGGAACGCAAAACCATGTCCAAACATATTCCAACACGTATCAACAACAACACAGAATCAATTAACAAAGATTGAACCAAGTATCATTCCAATTACATTCTAACGCAATTCCTAAACATGCCAAGACTTTACATCAATCACATAACGGTTCAGGAGCATCCGGAACCTCAAGAACATCAAGAAATCTATATGCAAAGCCTTAAAGACAAGTCTTAGACTAGAATCAACACCCGAGCATGCATAAACCCACCCAAGGATACCAAGAACATCACAACACGAGATTCACGATATAAACCCTAGGGACAAGCTCTAGACATAATTAAATACAAGATCAAACTAATGACCACACAATGCCATCAGGAATATCAAGAATAGCAATAATTCACCATATAAACCTAAAGACAAGCTCTAACAAGATATACATACAAAATCACACATTCAATCAATCAACGGAGCCAATCAATAAACAATAGCAAGGAAAATAGGTTTTGTAAGACATGGGTTACCTCTTAGCCCTTAATCAAATTCCCTTGGCTACTAAGGTTCTTTTCTAAGATCTCCTCCCAATTGATTCTTCCTAGGCTCGGTAGGGGGAATTCCTTTGCTAGATTACTTGAGGGAATATTTCGGGTGGCAGAGCTATTCGTGGTAGGGTTTCTAAATGCTTTCTAATCCCCAATATATAGATTCCGGAATCCTAACTAGAATCAGAATATTAAAGGCTCACTTTCCCTATTCCCGACGGGATTAAAGTTGTGCTAGGGATAAGGGTCCATGGTCCATTGTGAACCATATCAATTAATTAAAGGAATTCTAGTCCAATTAAATCCATTTTAATTATATATTAAAGGAATTAATTTCATAATTAATCCAGATTTAGAGGCCGTAACACGGGGTGTTACACTCTACATTCTCTTGATCTTTTACATTTGCCTCTTCACCTTTGAGCTCTCTATTAGAAGGAAGAAACAATTGCAGTAAGTTTTCCCCAAGCTCTTTTCATCCATTCATTCTTTTGCTTCTAGTTTCCTTCCTTTGTTTGGCTGAGATGTTTAGGAAGTGAAGGAAGTGGTGTTTGAGTAGAGAGGAGGATGAAATCCACACAAAGAAGAAGAAGAAGCAAATGTATAACCCATGGACTCCCAACTAGCTTTATTTTGACCCTGTGAAATCTAGATTGAAGTGTAAACGCTTAGAAATGCTAGATTATTGCTGTGGTTGAGCTATTAGTGATCTATTGTTGATATGATTGAATTGTTGAAGTTTTGGGAGTGTTGGTTGCACCTGTTTTGTCTATCAGGTGAAGGAGAAAGGGGTCTGGTGCACACAGATGGTGCACTAGTAGCCCAACGGATCCAGGAGTGATCCGTTGGCCAGGTCCATTAGTAGGCAGACTCAGGCAACGAATCATGGTATGATCTGTTGCCATGCACCGCCGCTTGGCGGAGCCAAGAGGCGGGGCTCCTCAAGCCCCGCTACGCACTCCGCCAGGCCAAAAAGAAGTGTTGGTCGGGCCTTCTGTGGCTCAACTTCGGGTCGTTCGAACCGGGACTCGGACACTCAGGTTCGTTACGACGCACTAGTAGAAGTTGATTTCGTTGATTTTGGAGTTGAAATGCTTAAATTACAGTAGAAATTGTGTTGAGAATATATATTGAAGTGCATTGTGTATTGTTTACAGTGAAGAAAATTTGAAGTGTTTGAGCTTAACTTTTTGAATGAGAAACATGATCATTATTTGATTGTTGGATTGAAAAGCATGATCATTATTTGATGAGTTATGATTGAAAAGCATGTTTAAGTATCTATTGTGATTTATTGAGAAGCATGCCAATAATGTCAGAATTTGAGATATCCAGTGCTTGATTTCTTAGATTACAGTAAATAGAATTTGCAAGAGTATAAAGTATATTTTGAGTTTAAAGAGCATGATCATTACTTGTTAAGTATTTGCTAAGAAGTTTGCTAAGTTTTGAGTTATAAACATGAAGTAGTACTTTGTTTGCTTGTTCCACAGTGAAAGAGAATTTGAGAATTCCTTGTAGTAAAAGAGCATGTTAACATATCATGAACTAAAGTGCATTAGTGGCTCTAAGTAAGCCTAAGTTCTATTTCAAAAATCTATATCTATTTTGGAAAATCATTATCTAGTTGCATTGAGAAGTTGCATGATATTTGATTTCCAATTTGTGAGAAAAGAGAATTGTTGAGAAACTATGTGCATGAGATTGCATAAGCAGATTTGTTGCATAAGAAAGAAGTGCATGATTTATATCTATATGTATCTAGTGTGAGTGATCCGAGGTTTTAGAGACCCGTTTGGACTATGTCCTTTCGGAAGAAAAGAGAAAGAATGAAAGTTGATTAAGACATTGCGATCCGATGTGAAGTAACGAGGTTGAATTCCCGAGTTACTAGGTTGGATACTATCCGTCGGGCTTGGAATCCCAGTTAGGGAGTGTGCACACTGACAAGTACGATACCTGATTCCACAGAGTTTGAGAAAAGAACGAAGAGAGTGGTTCTATAGGCGAGATGAGTATTAGGCCGGCTAGATGCCGATCCCAGATAGGTCCGTTCACGTTATGGTGAAGTTCCTACCTCGCCCACGAGTAAAAGTAAAGAAAGAAAGAAAATGAGTCTATGTTACTCAAGAGAAAGAAAAGAAAAGCGAGTACGTGTGACTCAAGTGAAAGAAGAGAAAAGCGAGTCATTGTGACTCTAAGAAACCTCTACAGTACAAGTGTTCCTTGTTACAAAAGAAAGAGTGTATATGTATATCTATCTATACTTATACTAAAGCATCATGTTCATCTTATTGCATGATTATATGATTTGGACGTGTTACATGAAAGTATGAGAAGAAACATGACTTTATATTGTTATTTATTAATTATCTTGATAGCATGAGATTGCTTGTTAAAAGTTTAAGTACATCTTTATCTATCACTCGAGCATGAGTAATGTATTTCGCCATGATAAGCTATATCTGTGAAAGTACGAGATTGTTGATGAATTAAATGTTTGAGAAAGCATGCCTATTTAATGATTAGGTTGCAAGCATCTAGAACTTATTGTTGAGTATGTTTAAGTGTTGCTTAAAGTGATTAAGTTTACTTGATCTAAGTGAACATGACAAATGTTTTCCAAAAGTATATACTATAGTACTTTACAAGGTTGAGCGGCGTTATACTTAGATTCGTGCTAACGGGTTGTTTTCTACTTGCTTGTTTGTTAACCCCTTTCAGGTGGGCCCAGTTCTTGAGCGGGATGAGTTAGACTAGCTTATTATGCACACACAAACCGATACACTCCATAGAAAACTGTACGCTTTAGGACTTATATTATGCAAGCAATTTAATATATATTTACATAAATTGGAAATTATAGATTTGAGGGATCTGCCAAACTAAAATCTAAGTGAAAAAAAAAAAAAGAATAAGAAGCAAGGAATCACACAACTCAACTCCTAGCTAATTCCTAAATATATGACTTGTAACAATGTACAACTTTTTCCTTTCATTTTGAGTCAACAAGAAGCACTTGTGCACTCACAAGCAGAGATTAGGTATAGGCCAAGGTTTTGTTTTTTCTATTATTGCATATACTAAAAGATTATGATTATTATTTTGTTTGAAATAATGAGCATATATTAAGAAGTTTGATTATTATCTGTGGTGATGGTCTCAGTTAAACACGACGAAATATGATGGGTGCACCATATTGAGGGTGGAGAAGCATCAACACAGTCGGGGCATGTTGATAGCATGGCGACATTCGAAATGAGAAACGTTGTAGTATGATTGCGAGTGTAAGCTTTGTTTGTAAAATTGCTAGGTTTTGTCCGATGCATTGTCGGACTCCAATGCCAAAGGGAATGTAAGCCGCGGGATGCTTTGTTGCCATAGCTACTCCCTTGATGAATCGGGTGGGGTTGAACTCGTTCACATCACTGCCCCATAATGTTTGGTCATGATGAATGGCTAGGATTGGTATCAAGAGCTCGGTCCCACAAGGGATCTTGCATCCTCCAAGCTCCACATCAATCTTCGCTCGCCTAATCATCGCAACAACTGGAGGGTAGAGACGCAAGGACTCATTCAGAATCATGCTCAACTGCACAGCATATCACAAACATATATATTTAGATAAATAGTTTAAAAATGTCTAAAATGTCTTTAATACATATTAATTTGGTCGTGTTTGGTAACATTTTTACAAAGTGAAAGACATTTAAGACTAAAAGTGTAACAATTTTTAATGTTGAAAAGGTAGATGTGAAATATTCCTTTAACAGTCAAATACTAAAAGTAAATAAATAAATAAATAAATAAATAAATCAATCAATCAATCAATCAATCAATCAACATAATAAAAATGCCCGTATAGTAAAATTTTAAAGAGTAATTAAATAAACCATTTCGTAATAAATATGTGAGACTTTAAGAAGATAGTCACGACACACAATCAAAAAATTAATTCAAACTAGTAATTCACCCGCGCGATGCACGAAAAAAAATTATGTTATTATAAATATAAATAAAAAATAGAAAAACTAAAATATTTTAAATTGTTTAATATAATAATATCTTTGAGCTTCCATTGGTCAAGTATTTATTATTTTTATAGAATAAAAAATTAAAATTAAAATTAAAATTAAAATTAAAATTTTGTATGGTTAATATAATCTCTAATTATGTGCATATTCAAATAAACTTATAAAGAGAATTTACATAATTATATTGATTTATTCTTAATTGTATTTCATCTATATTATAATTTTCACAATACGAATAATAACTAAGATAATTACATTTGGAAAGCAAATTTCAAATTTTGTATGGAATAAATTTAAACTCTAATTGAACACATTTTTTATATGATTAAATAATATATAACTATTTTATTTTTCAAAAGTATATTTTTTATATGATTATATAATATATAGCTATTTTATTTTTCAAATGTTGTGTTTTTTTTTTTTTTTATATATAATAAAGGATGTTGTGACATTAATTACTTTCCAAACTATATAGCTTTATTATAGTTAAATAAGAAGCTAATATGAATTAGTGTGCCACTTATCTGTTCAATGACTAAATTGATAATCACGGCTAAAAAATATTCATTTCTCTACCACCTTCCTAAAAGTGGTAAGAAAATAAGGATTAATAGTATTTAAATAAAAAAAAAAAAGTTTTCCAAACGAATTCTGATATTTGAAAAATTAGTCCTTAATATTACCAATCACTTCTAGTTCTAGTGAATGGTCAAAATTTCTATCCATAAAAAAAATACTTGAAAAAGTTGAGAAAAAGACTTTTCGTTTCTTAGATGGTTAGAAAAGTAAATAAAAAATTGACATATCTTTATTTTTAAATTTGAAATAAGGTCATTGTAAAAATTCTCAACCAATAAAATGTACTGTATCATAATAAAAATTCTCAACCTTAGAAGACGATGTCAAAGCAATTAGAAACACAACAATCAATAAAATATGTCGTAATAAAATACCTTAAAAGGCGAGGTAGAAGTAAATAAGATTTAGGGTCGGTTTGAAAAGTAAGAAAATAACTTTTGAAAATTGAGTTATTTTTTTAAAAATATTTTCATTTTTAGTGTTTTGAAAAATTTGATGTGTTTGGTTTATTTTCTAAAAATTGAGTAGAATTGTATAATTAAATATTTTGACGGAAGTCATTTTTTATCAAAATAACTTCATTTTTTTTTTATTAACGAAAATTATTTTCGGTTGACTAAATCTTTTTGTTACTTTCAAACACTAAAAACTCAAAAAATATTTTTCATAAGTCATTTTCCTACTTTTCAAATCGTCTCTTAATTAATAACACAAATAATGTTTGTCTTAATCACACAAAAACAAAAGAGAGGAAGGTGGGCCTACCATCTTAAACTTGGCAATATCATCTTTGGAGGGTATATCACGTGACCCACACACCTTGACCACCTCCTCACGTGCCAGGTCCTGCCACCGTGGGTGCATCGCCAGCAAGACGGCTGTCCAAGTCAGCAAGTTCGACGTGGTTTGCTCGCCGGCGAAGAAGAACGTCTTGCACTCCTCGGCAATGTCGTCCACCGTGATCGCCGTCGCAGAAGCGGCCGGCGGCGGCGACGGACCCTCCTTCATGCTTGCTTGGATCATAAGGCCCAGCAAATCCTTTGGCCTATTTTCAACCATTCCACTTCCCCAATTCTCTCTCCTTTCTTCAATAACATTTATTAGAGATCTCTTAATCTCTCTATCCAACTTCCAACACTTCATGTTCCTTTTAGTGGGCAAGAATCTAAACACCAAAAAAAAAAAGTCAAAACTCAAAATTTAATTTGCCCTTTGTTAACCTGACCATTATTAGCTGTTTGATGACTTGGTTAAATAATCAATATAAGTGTGTGATGAATTAACTTTTTGTAATAGTTTATTGCTTTAAAATACTAAAATTCCGAAAGTTGCTCAAAGTAGTTTTTTCGATCAAGCTTTTTAAGAAAGTAATTTTGCATGTAATCAGCTATTAGCTAACAGCTAATTTATCAAATACTTTTCTACAATCAGCTAATGCTATCAACTAATCAAACTCACTAACCCAATCAACTATTGAACCCGAATAACGTCTAAGTGTTTGATTACCTATATCCAGGAATGAAAACCTTTTGTAATGCTTCACTTGTTAGCAGCACTTGTTGAGCTTGTAAGCTGAAAATGGCTTTCCCTTGTTCATAGCTACTCCCAAATGCAGTTTGTGCCACAATGTCTTGTGTCAACATTTTAAAACATTCCGACACTTCAATTTCTACTTCTCCACACTTTGACAACATGTCTGTCCATTTCTCCAACATTTCAATCACTTTACACCCTATTGCTGGCATTAACATCTGCAATATTTCCCAACAACAATTCATTTTTATATCAAAATGAATAAATAAATAAAATTGGTTGATTTGATTTTTGTTTGAATAGGAATCTAGACTTCATCGGAGAGTTGGCCTTAAATGGGCCCCACTGAAGCTCGACTGAATTAGTCTTACTTTACAAGATATAAAATAAAAATAAATAATAATAATAATTTGGACTTGCCTTGAGATTTTCCATATGAAAAGTGGGCGTGATGATTTTTCTGTGGTGAGCCCATTTTTCTCCTTGCAGGCTAAGAAGGCCATTACCTTCAAGCTGTCTTATGAGGGGGTGAGCGTCATTCTTCTCGTAGAATTTTGATTTTGAGGTATATATTTCTCTAATTAGGTCGGGATCGGCTACAGCGAGACGCGGTGTCGGTCCGAACCACAGTAGAATTGTTGCACCTTGATATAAAAGAGACGAATTACAATATTAGATTTGATGCATTATATATATATATATAATATTTTAATTTTAATTTTAATTTTCACTGGTTCTCGGGTATTCTTAAAAAAAAATGTTTTAATTTGGAACAAACTTGGGAGTTGGGACCACCAACAAACATTGTAACCATGTCTAAAAAAGACCACATTATTAAACTCAAACATGTCATAATGTTGAAAAAATTTAAAGTGATGGAGTAGTAGAAGAGGGTTTAAACTTCACAATTTGAAGCACTCATCACACCTAGCTTCTTATAAGAGGACAAAGCAAGGCATACGAAAAAAAAAAAAAATTATGAAATGTTATGCATTTCAAATATATAAAAGTTAAATTACAATCCACTAGCCATATATGCCATCATTAATGGAAACTTTCACAATGCTACACATATGGCATGATGTCATAATCTAAAAATAATTGAGATGAGAAAGGAGTCGAAAATTTAATTAACAACACTACACATAATTTGTTTTCTAATGTTGTCAATCGAAGAAAGATAGAACAAACAAGAATGAATAATATAATGTTACATTTTTCTTAGAAATAATTAAGATATATAACGTCAAGAGTGGGAGAAAGAGTGCGAGTTAGCTCACTAAACTTGTAACTTTTTACCGGACTAGTAGTTTTACATACTCCCTAAGAGAATTTTAAAATTTTATTTAGCTTTAACACGAATGAAAGACAGATAATCATAGAAATTAAAAAGTTACGAGTTATGAACTCACCATAGATTTTCTTCCAATGATGATAGAAGGGGAGGACCCTTGGGAGTATATTGTGAGAATCATAAGGGATGGACTGTGAAGAGGCTTTCAACATTAGGCTCAAAATCTCCTTACCATTTCCAATGAGGAATCTATAAGGACGGCCTCTTATTCCTTGTTTGGCAAAGTGCTGTTCTATCTTCCTTGGCCTCCAACACAGATAAAGCATGGCCCTCACCAGAACCAAACACACCGCAAAAGAAATGCCAAGAAACTTGATATAATTATACTTCCATTCCATGGAGAACAGCTTCGAATTCTCTTCTTCCATGGCAGACTTTTTTTTTTTTTTTTTTTTTTTCTTCTACGTAGTGGATATGGGCAATCCTCAAAAGGGAACAAAAGCCTGTGTTTGTGGGTTTGCCTTTGAGCCAGCTACCTTTGTTGTATGTACTATGTAGAGGTAGCAGCCTTTTCTTATATACATATTTTTTTGCTTTTGTTTATGTTATATGTTTGTTGCTTCCTTCTCAGTGTCTTCTCCTTTTAATGCTAAACAACAAAGTTTGAGAAGGCCAGGAGAG